ATACTCACTCGATTACTAAACTTTTGTGTTGTTTTGAATCAATATAATCATTTACTAAATGTGAGATGGTAAATTTCGACGATCGGGTCAAAAAATGCATTTAAATGTTGTACCGGAGACAATGATACGTTCTTAGCTCTTTCCCTAAAAAAACATTTATTTATTTTATGCATGTACATTTTGTTTTTAAACAAACCTAAAAATTTAATACTCACTCGATTACCAAACTTTTGTATTGTTTTGAATCAATATAATCATTTACCAAATGTGAGATGGTAAGTTTCGACGATCGGGTCGAAAAATGCATTGAAATGTTGTACCAGAGACAATGATACATTCTTAGCTCTTTTCCTAAAAAAAACATTTTTTTTTAGTTTACGCATATACATTTAATTTTTAAACAAACCTTAAAATTTAGTTCTCATTTGATAACCAAACTCATGTGTTGTTTTGAATCAATATATTCTTTTACCAATTGTGAGGTGGTAAATTTCGGCGATCGGGTCGAAAAATGCATTGAAATGTTGCACCAGAGACATTGATACGTTCTTAGCTCTTTCCCTAAAAAAACATATTTTTAGTTAATACGTATACATTTAGTTATTAAACAAACCTAAAAATGTAATACTCACTTGATAACCAAACTCATGTGTTGTTTTGATTCAATATTTACTAATATTTATATATATTTACGGGCAAAGCCCTTTACAACAATTTAACACAGGACAATACACATTCAGATACTATATAAGTTTTAATATGATAATAGTTCAATAATAGTAATAATAATAATAACAGGTAATATAAATTAGTAATAGTAAAGTGGACAAAAAAATAATGTTAAAAAAATATATTATGGTAAATGGTACTCTCATTGACCTGCCGCATCATGCGATCAATAGGATTATTTTTGCCATAATTTGTAGTGTGCGTAGAAACTAAGAATGGGACATGGTGTCGAATAGTGCGGGAAGGGACCTTGAAATTGACCAATACAAGAAGTGTGGGAGCATCAAAGCGACCATCCACAAGTTTTTTCAAAATCTCTACGTTGGTGTTAACTCTCCTGTCTGCTAATGAGACGAGACCTAATTCCTGCATAACTATAGAGTAGTCATGGGGAGGATGTTTTATTTTTCATGTAAAAGCTTCGCAAGATAGGAATCGTCTCTGAACGCGTTCTAATTGACAGGAGTCCGCTAACGTATAAGGGTCCCATAGGACAGATGCATAATCTAATAAGGAACGGACCAAGGAGAAATAGATTGTTTTCCGAGAAGAATATAAATTTAACTCTTTCGAAGTACGTATTACGAACCCAAGCGTTTTTATAGCTTTGCAACATAACATTTCAATATGAGAGTGAAAATTCAGGTCAGTATTAAAAATAATACCTAAATCTTTCTTACTACTGATAGATGTCACTTTAGAACCGTTGATTGCATACGTATAACTGATAGAGGAGCGGTGTTTAAAAAATGACATGGAATGACATTTATTCACATTAAACTGCAAACCAATAGTATTAAACCATGCAACCATGTTGTTTAGGTCCTTCTGGAGCGCAGAGCAGTCAGATATGTTTTCAATTTTCCTAAAAAGTTTTAAGTCATCAGCAAACATGAGAAATTCACAATTTTTGATAACCCCTTTGATGCCATTTACATACAGTGAAAACAAGATCGGGGATAGATGTCCTCCCTGAGGAACTCCAGAAGAGACTTTAGAGATGGAAGATTTACAGCCGAATACTTTAACCCATTGAACTCGGTCGGATAGATAGGACTTGAACCACGACAGCAGTGGTTCGCCAAACCCGGACTTGTATAGAGCATCAATTAGGTAGCCATGGTCAACTCTATCAAAGGCTTTTGCAAAGTCTGTGTAAATAACGTCTACTTGGATGTGCTTTTCAACAGCCTCCATAACAAAGTTGTTAAATACCATTAAATTCATAGTGGTCGAGCGACCAGGTCTGAACCCATACTGTTCGTCGATTAGAATTGAATTAACAGAAGATTGAATATTTCTCAATACCAGTTGTTCGAAAAGTTTGGATATGTGGCACAAAATTGAAACTGGTCTATAATTTTTGACATCGTTTTTATCACCCGATTTAAATATAGAAGTGACAGAGCTAATCTTAAGGATAGATGGGAAAACTCCACAATCAATGGAACGCCTAAAAAGTAGCCACAGTGGAAAACATAGTGAAGATTTAATATTGTACAAGAAAATACCTGATAAGCCATCTGGGCCTACTGACTTTACATTTTTTAGGGCATCTAGGCCATCATCAATATCATCGATGCTGAATGAGCAATTGGTTCTTAGACCCCGACAATATTGGTAATAACCTAAGAGAACGCGGTTACAAGTACATAAATCACTACATAGATAATAATCTATATTATTAAAGTTATTTCCGTGTACATCAACAGTAGGAGTAGAGATAGACGAACATGAAGATATTAGTTTTTTGGAGTGGAATTTAGAATCATCTCAGGGGTAAGACGACCCCAGAAGCGTTTGACCATTACGCCATCAGGCCAGAATGCAGGTTCGAGGACCTCATCAAGCTTCTCCGCAGGCAAGCGTACGTGGAATGAGGAGTATGATGGGTGTCTTGTTACCATTTTATTAATGGTCACTTCTGAGTAATTATTGAATAATTCAGATTCAAGCATGGTAGACGTAACGCATGGATCAAGTCTCGAGACAAAAATATCAGCATGTTTCCCCACGGGAACTGAAGACAGCTTAGAGGACGAGTTTTTATGAGAACCGACGATGAATCTTGGTTTTGAGGCCGAAGGCTGATTATTGGTCAATTGGATTCCGGGCTGTCTGGGACGAGAATCCGCATCCAGCTTCGGGTGAACAGTAATTATTGGCAAATTTTTGGGTTCTGCATTCGATTTGGAAGCAAAGGTACCACTTGTTGACATATTGAGACGGTTCAATTTGTCATGTAATTTAGAATTACTGAGTGCCACAGATTTGAGCTCTTCGACAACAGATTGTAGAATGGAGGCTACATTTATTGGATTTTCAGGTGAAATCGTTATCGGGTTAGAAGAAGAATTTTTTAAAAATAGTGACAATTCTTCACTAAATATAACACCAACAGGTAAAGATTGCGTAACAATGTAGTCAACGAGCATATTTTTTGTCCACTTATTTAGCTCTGCAGAAAGGAGATCAATATTTTGGGACATTATGCGTTTACGGTTATCGTTGGTAAAGTAGGCAATTAATCAAATATGACGCCTTGAACAATGCAGATAGGCCAAATAATTTGCACAATAAGTATGATAATAATAACAATAAATGGTGGCCTTGACACGTGCCGGATTCAATCAGAAATAGCAGTCACGGGTCGCAACTGCTTATCTGAACCGATAGAAGCCGTACTTTACTGATAAAATTTAGTTAAATTTAATATACCTTTCCGCTATGTAGTTGAAGGCAAATTAAAAAACTGACATTGAGTGAACAGGTATTAAGCAGACTGACTCAACAACGACACCAGTCTGTACACGCACTTATTATGAACTTGACGAACTTAAAAAGTAAAAAAAAACGGGTAATTTGATTCAAAGTTACAAAGAAATAGAACACGGAGCGATATGAACTTTAGCATATTATTCACTTAATATAATCTTTTACCAATTGTGAGTTGGTGAATTTTGACGAATGATGGCAACGACTAAATACTAATTCAGTGGTCACGCAAAGCCTTTTAACCGAAACACATTACCATCAGAGTACGGACTGAGGGTACGTTACTGTGTCTCCTACCGAAGATGTATTATCTTATTGGTCTATAGGACGGCGTATCTTAGGTCTTCCTACGTTCAAGTTTGTTTAGATGTTACTAAAATTTCAAAAACATTGATATGCATTAAGAGCAATGTAACTGTATAGTAAACAGTTAGGTGAAATTTAAGCAAGGTAATAAATAATAGACTTTTTGGAAATTATAAATAGATACATTATTATTTATAAATAATATTATTAGCTGTAACATTCAATAAATAATAGATAAATAGTATCTTAGTATATTTTAAATCTATTTAAAATTAGTTTCCTGATGAAAAATAATAAACGTATTTTTAAAAAAAAACACAGTACAACAATTACCAACAATATAGCAACCTAGAAATTGGCTACGGTAAAAGTGTAGGTAATTTTTTTCCTTTTTTTGGATACTTTCATAATAAAAAAAAAAATAATTTTGACTACTGATTTTTGAGAAAATGTTATTTTATTCTTGATCTTCTTCAGTCTAATTAACAGATAAAAGAACCTAAAATAAAATGTTTACCTAACATAGCGAAATAAAGAAAAAGTGTCTACCCCTTCAAGAGGTAAGCCCGGTTTATAATATTATGTTGGTTTAACGTTTATCGATAATATTATGCCTAAAAATATTTTATACAAATTTGGAACTCATTAAACTATTTTTAAAAAATATATAGAGCGCCATAATTTTATGTTGTGAAATGTGCAAATTGTTAGGGCGTTTTATCTCTAACCTCACCTCCAGCATTCTGCTGGACCATCTTATAACCCTAATCTATTATCTCTTATCTTATGTTATATATATATATATATATATAATTACATTACATTAAAATAAATTCATATCCCTCATTTCTCGTTTTTAATTTATATTAAAAAGCTTAAAACATCTAAAAAACATTATATGGAATATATTTTCAAATTAATAAATTTCAAATTTGACAAAACGCAAATCACAGTTTCAGTAATATGATAACGCACGCGTAATGATAAGGGTTAGACTCACTTATAACATGGCTGCCGTATTTTGTTTACAATATAGCTTTCTATTTTGAAATATTATTTATTCTGTGGTAATATGGCTCATGGTGGTAATATGAAGATGATTATTTAGATAAATTCGCATTCGAATATGCGCAACTCCGTCTGTCAGCCAGTATAGTGTAAAATTAAATAAGATAAAATATAAGAATGATTTATTTATCGCAATCTCTTTTGAACAATTTTTTTATTTCGTTAAACGATTCGCTGAAATCGTCTAAATGCATTTTCATGGTGTTGGCCATCGATTTGAAATCCCAGTCGTCTTTCTCGACTTGCGGTGAAAATTGTGTTTTTAACTCAGATTCTCTTTCGTCAGTCATTACTTCCAAATGCTTATCCAATATTGACGTAAACGAGTCCGGTTGGTCGCAACCGTTGTTTTGATTGGAAGTGCACTTTAATTCGGCTATTTGGGCTTTGAGACGTTTTATCTGTCGGCAACGGTCTTCGATGACGCGCTTCAGCTCACACGCGTCTTGTTTCATCAAGCTGATCTTCCTTTCGTTGAGTTTCAACTGGTTGTTCAATTGTTCCCGTTCAGTGGTATGTTTTTGCGCTGCCAGTTCGGCGCATTGCTTGCTTTTTTTGGCCGCTTGACGCTGTTGGTCCAACGCCGACTCCAACCGTTGAATGACCATCACTTGCTCGTCCTTTTGGCATCTAAGTCTCTCGGCCTCGGTTTGCGCGTCGCACACCTTTCTGTTGGCCGCCGTTAACTCTTTGCCGACCGCTTCGACTTCGGCCCTGAGTTCGCACATTTCTTCGTCCGTCTTGCACTTGTCTTGCAAACGCGCCTCCTGAAGCTCTTCAATGATCTTTTTTAGCCGCCCTATCCGATCGGCTTGCGCATCCAACTTCTGTTGCCGGTCTTCCAGGTATCTTTTGATTTCGGCCACTTCGGTCGATTTCGAACCCAACTGGCACTGCAGCCCGTTCATTTCCGTCTGCAATTTGCTGATGGTGCTTTCCATTTTGATTTTCAACTCGGTCATTGACGATTTCAAACACGTGTTCTGTGCCTGGACTTCGGTTATTCGGTTCTCTAGTTCGGCGCGTTCGCATTTCTTGTCGCCCGACGCTTTCTGCGCTCTGGTCAACTCCCGCTCGCTCTCCTGCAACTGTATGTCTGCTTGTTCCAATCTGCTGCACAACTGTTTACCGTTTTCGACCAGTTCAGCCACTTTTTTGTGCAATTTACAATTTTCATTCTTGAGTTCCAACTTGGCATGTTGCAATTCACAGATCACGTTTTCCTGCAGCTGAATTTTGTCCGTCAACTCTCCCAGTTCACACCGTAGCTGTTCATTTTCTTTTTGATCTTTGACGCCCTGTTCCTGCTGCGAAGCGAACGAACTACATAGATAGTCGTATCTGCCGATCAACTGACCGAACATATCGTTCTGGTTTTGCACGATAGACTCCTTCCATAATTCAATTGAGATCAACTTTTCCTGTAGACAATCTCTTTGCGCCACCACATTGTCATAATCACATAGCATGTCCTCCAAATACCGTATACGATTGTCGGCTTCTACTAGCTGACATTTAAAATTTTCCTCATTTTCAGACATAATTTTAGTATAATTTTTTTTTATGTACACTTTTACAAATTTAGCAAAATATTATGAAGATTTAAAAATATATATACATGTATATAATAAACACAAAATTATTGTTGCTTATTATTAAATTTACGGCCAGAAATTGTAACAAAAAATACAAATAAAATATCGACTACTTTTAGTATAGTCGGGGTAACTTTTGTAGTCGAAATTCCGGTTGAACAATAATTGTATAACTCCTTAAAATTATACAAATATATTTCAGGTTTTAGTTTTTTACGCCAGTAAAAAAATGTTCCTATAGTTTTGTGTGTAACAAAATTATTTTTGTCATTTTCAAAGTATTGTGTTACTAGATTTTCTAAACGTTTTTAATGGATCTAATTTTACATTTTTATCAAAGGGGTGACCGGTGATGTCAACTTACTCCATTTTACTCACAAACACTTACTGCGATATACGCCTGCATATCTTGGTGGAAGTTAGTATTTAACAAGGGGAGGTCACAGTGATGGCGTGACGGATTTTCTTCAAATTGCGAATAAATGTTATTTATGAGAAATAAAAAGACCCTTATTCGAGCGTTTGTGCCAATGCGTCCTAATTCCAGAGATAATCAACTTTGAAATTTACATATTTTTTGGTATATCTTAAATAGACCTATTTTAAAAACTAAATGTGGTGCGGTCGAGCGTGATCGGTGCTCATGAGTGCGCGGTACCGGGTTCAACAACAACCCTGGCTACCGCCGCAGCGTACTTTTTGCATTTTTTTACAACTTTTTTTAACTTTTATGGTAATTTGTATTGCAAGGAGTCTAAAAACTTATAAAATATTTATATTTTATTACTACAGAATACATTTTCACCCTTAAAAGTACTTGATAACCTATATTCCATTCGGTTTTTCGTCATTTATTATACTTCTCGTACTGATGATTGAATAACAATTTTTTTTTGTATAATTGCACTATTGTATAGTGCAATTTAACCTGTAAAGTTGTAAGACTAAAAAAATATTGTTTTTCCATTTTTCTATAATAGTTATTGGTTATATTAATTAATAATTTTTTTACAACTAAAAAAAATACATTTATACTCTGTTAAGCAATGTAGTGTATTAATGTTGATGGTGATATTATAATTTGTCTTCATTGGGGAAATTACGACCCGGGTGGGATGTATGGAGTTAAGATATGTCATATGTGTATTGGTGATTATGATTACCAATCTGTAATTTATGTGATGACATATTTATTGTCCTTAACCAAGTTAAGTCCAACTATTAGGATGATATGCATCATAAAAATTATACAAAAAAAATTGTTATTCAATCATCAGTACAAGAAGTATAATAAATGACGAAAAACCGAATGGAATATAGGTTATCAAGTACTTTTAAGGGTGAAAATGTATTCTGTAGTAATAAAATATAAATATTTTATAAGTTTTTAGACTCCTTGCAATATAAATTACCATAAAAGTTAAAAAAAAGTTGTAAAAAAATGCAAAAAGTACGCTGCGGCGGTAGCCAGGGTTGTTGTTGAACCCGGTACCGCGCACTCATGAGCACCGATCACGCTCGACCGCACCACATTTAGTTTTTAAAATAGGTCTATTTAAGATATACCAAAAAATATGTAAATTTCAAAGTTGATTATCTCTGGAATTAGGACGCATTGGCACAAACGCTCGAATAAGGGTCTTTTTATTTCTCATAAATAACATTTATTCGCAATTTGAAGAAAATCCGTCACGCCATCACTGTGACCTCCCCTTGTAAGTAGAAAATAAAACACAACAATAATATGTTTGAACACAATACTATTAAACATAAAAACACACAGTATAAATATAGAGAATAATATATACAACGTACGTTACAGTTATAACAGCAGCCGTAATAGAATGGTAAATCCAACACCTTAATACTATGTCTTATATATTATATAATCTAGGTTACAAATGTAATTGGTCCTTGTATAAAACAACTTTTAAATATTACTCAATGATTTCTACAGTGTTCACATATAATACCATATAAGGTTATATAATATTTATTACTTATAACATACTTTTTTTTTTTTTTTTTTTACAAAAACAATCTATACAAATATGTATGTACAATAAGTTTTTTTTTTATCTAAATTATAACAGGGCATGTATGTCTTGAAAAGGAAGCTACCCATTGGTAACACCTCTATTATAACATACTTATATTCCATAACCCAAATAAACAATATTAATTATATTCAATAACACTATATTATGACCATAGCCGTCATTTTAATTTGGTCGATTATCTGAGGACTCGCGGATATATTTTACATAATTTGTAATAGTTTTTATATCAAAGATGGTTGTTTGAAATTTAGTTGAAAATTGTATATATACTTGTGGTATATGTTTTATATTATATATTTACGTATGTTATTATAAATTAAATTATATTTATTTACACAACTATAATCTTTGATTATATAAGGTTTAATTATTATCGATTTAATATAATAATAATAACAATATATAATAATATAATTATAAAAATATTTTCATAAAACTAGTTCATACTCATGATATTGCCCCCTATAAAGTAGGTAGTTGCCATAGTTATCTTTAATTTCTATGCCTCGAGAACTGACATTTCTCCCGTGTAACTGTAAATCGGGCAGTTAGTACATCGCAGTTTTCTTCTGCCTCTTCGCAGTTACACACATCTCTTTTCCGTACGAAATTATGAAGAACGCAGCTTGTTTTCACTATATCCTATATCATCACAAAATTGTAATCCTACTAAAATTACCGAGTGTAGAATTCGCCATTTATTCACAAATGCACCAAATACGCATTCAACTGTTCAACTTTGGCTAGACAATCTGTAATTTAATACCGAATTTTTTCGAGACCATGACCGAGAAATAGTCGCAATACATTCGTGCGAAGGCCTAACGCTTCATCAGCAACGAATACAAAAGATTGCTTGTTATTTACGGTAGAAGGTAATGTTCTGGGTCCAGGAATTTTAAGTAGATTTGAATATATGTTTTTCCCAATTTAACTTTCTCGTAACACACTTGAGTCGGCCTCCCGTCCGTATGCTCCCACATCGATAGCAATACAATTGAAATTAACATCTACTACAGTCATCAACACAATAGAAAAGTATTTTTTATAATTATTGTACAGCGAACCGGCGTTGTTAGGATTTTTGCATCTGATGTGCTTGTCATGAAAATCATCTAGGCAATTAGGGAAATTGGTTTTCGAATAAAATATGTCGGAGATTTGTAACCCTGTAGGTTGTGGCATTTCGGCTTCTTGTCAGGCTGACAATAGAATTTGACATGTTTCCTTACTATACCATTACTGGTGCTTTTTCCAATGCATAAATCGTATTTAACACCGCTAAAATTAATTCCTTTGACAAATATCTGTTAAAATTAATTAAAAATAATAACATAATGAATAACCTATTTCTAATAATAAGAATATTATCTATAAAGTATTTTAGAAAATACATATTATAAATATTATTATGATGTAATATAATAGATGTTATATTATTATGATATCATTAGTATTATTTTCAATAGTTTTATACCATTTGAGTTCACAGTACTATTACGATAGCAAGAATTTTTAAATAAATATATAAAATAAAGGCTTAACCCCTTTCTGCATAAATTATTTTTCTCAAAAAAAATATGTGTATCTAGATTTGGGGTCAATAGTTACATGGAAAAATATTTGAAAAAATTGTTGACCATTTTTGACCCTAAAAACCCTTATGTTTAATGTGTGCCATAAATGGAACAATGCGCATCAAAACTATTTATATGCCATTTTTGAACCTTATGCATTAAAGTATGCATATCTATAATGTGCCATATATATATATATATATATATACTTAATTTATTAATTTGTATATCACGTTACTTATTTGTAATCAGTCTTTGATTATTTAGTATCTATATTTATTAATTATTAAAACAATTAAAAACTTTTAGTAGCTCAAGTATTAACAATTAATTATTAAATAGGCAATATTAAAAAAATATATATAAAAATAAACATATCACATTACTTGTTAGTAATCAGCTTTGATTATTATCTTGTATTTAATAATTAACAAAAAAATTAAAATCTTAGTAGCCCAAGTATTAACCAAAAATTTCAAAACAATACTTTTTGTGCATGTGACGCGGTCGTACTGTTGGCGTTACTTACGGATTGGGGTTAAATAAATAACTTCAACACGGGGTTACGGTGGAAACACAATGTATTACTCGACCACGAAATATTTAATACAAATTATATTACCAAATTAATATAAAGTTTTTCAAGTCGCGGAAGGATCCGGAATGATCGAGCTAGCATGAATGGAAACTCGCGAATGTCGATAACGCCGCATCAAATATTTAATAAGTTTATGAAAGATAGAAGTGTCTTATATCAAAATTGTTTAGTTGTTCGTGCTGAATTCGGCCATGCATGAAGTAACGTAAACGGATAAATATCAAACGAGGTATTGGAAAAAACTAATTTGTGCCATTTATGGGACCTAACGCAGAAAGGGGTTAATTTTTATGCTGGCTCATTTCAATAAACAACTAATGTGGATTTTAATACAAATTATTTGGTTTAGCCAGGTTTAATTGCAATATCCTAAATACCCAAGTGATATATTATAATCGTTTTTATCGTCTAATCGTGATTTTTTTAGATGTAATGTATTGCCCAAGTTGCCAATATAATTGCACGTCTTCTAACTTAAGTCTTGAAAGAAAAAATGAGCCTAGCTTGGGAAATATATACTAATTGTCATGTATATACTAATTTTGTAAACAAAACATTTTTTTTGATCTGGATCATAATTCGAGACTAAAAGGATAAAGAACTTTGAAAATATTATTAATATTATACCATATACACAAT